TTCAGATGTCAGTTTCCACTGTGAGGAACTTAATGAAGAAATGGAAGATCTCAGGGACAGTTCTTGTTAAGCCCAGAAGTGGCAGGTCAAGAAAAATATCAGAGAGGCAGAGAAGAAGAATGGTGAGAACAGTCAAGGACAACCCACAGACCACCACCAAAGACCTGCAGCATCATCTTACTGCAGATGGTGTCACTGAGCACCGTTCAACAATTCAGTAGACTTTGCACAAGAAGAAGCTACATGGGAGAGTGATGCGACAGAAGCCTTTTCTGCAAACACGCCACAAACGGAGTCGTTTGAGGTCTGCAAAAGCACATTTAGACAAGCCAGCTTCATTTTGGAATAAAGTGCAGAGGATTGATGAAACAAAGATTGAGTTATTTGGTCACAAAAAAAGGCATTATGCATGGCAGCCAAAAACCCCCACAGCATTCCAAGAAAAACACTTGCTGCCCACCGTAAAATGTGCGGCCAATGCCGGCACTGGGAATCTTTTTAAAGTTGAGGGTCGCATGGATTCCACTCAATATCAGCAGATTCTTGAGAATAATGTTCAAGAATCAGTTACAAAGTTGAAGTTAAGTTAGATATTTCAGCAAGACAAAGATCCAAAACACAGCTCCACATCTACTCAGACATTAAACATAGGAACAAATATTCTGCGTTGGCCTCCCAGTCTCCAGACCTGAGTTTTGTTGAACATCTGAAGCGGGCTGTCCATGCTCAGCAACCATCAAACTTAACTGAACTGGAATTGTTTTGCAAAGAGGAATGGTCAAAAATATCTTTATCCAGAAAAATATTAAAAGGTAAAGGAGGCATTGACTCTGTTAATTGTGCAAAAGGAGGATCTAATAAATATTAATGTGATTTTTCTGTTTCAGTGACCAAATATTTGCACCTGTCAAATTTTATTTTAGTGCATATTGCCCATTTTCTGTTAGTACAATAAACCTCATTTCAATACTGAAATATTACTGAGTCCATTAGTTATTAGATATATCAAATTGAAATACGTGGTGCAAAAACCCAAATATTTAGAAATAAAAATAATTAAGTTTAATAGGGGTGCCCAAATATTTTGATATGATTGTATTTTAATTTTACACTAACTCACAGTAAATCAATTAAAATTGTATTTGTTTTTCCATAAAAATGCAAACTCAACAACATCCTACCCATTACAGATTTTTCATTCAACATTATTTTCCTTACTGAGAGTTTTGATGTGGTTCTGCACAGCTACAGAAGATGAGAAAGAAAAATAATTTAAAGCTTTAAAATGTTTCTGGACTGAAATCAAACAGTTGAATTTTGAGAGGCTGATTTTTATATTGGACAGTAAATTAGTAAGTTTAGTGACTTCTCCTAAACCAGATATAATTTAATTACAAACATAAACATTGCCACAAACTTATAAAATAAAACACCTCTTACCTTTAACATTTATTTGAAGACGGTCAGCACAAGCTGTTGCTATGAACGGTCTGTTCTCAACCCTGAAGAAGTATTTGTCTGTATAACTTGTATTTAAATCAGGAAACAGAGTGGTGCAGTTTTTCTCTGTCAGGTTTCCAGTGATATTCAGTGGATATTTGTTTACTGACCTACTGCTTTTGAAAATAACAACATTTGAATCACTGCTAAAAGCTAAATTATTTTTCATCCAGACTCCAATGATATTTCCACTGCTGTCAATCGGCTTCGATGTATTAAAGCTACATGGGATTTCCAGACAAGATCCACTCAGAGCTTCAATCTCCTTTGGTGCAGTGATGGAGAGGCCTACTGGTTTGTTTTGACAGTAGTCAGCAAAAACATCTGTAAAATCAGACAAATGATGAATATCATGTGGAGTCAAATCTGTCTGCAGAGAAACTTCATTATCCACAAACTCCAGTTCAGCTGCAGCAGGTTACATGTGGATCAATGTTTCAGACTAGAAATGATTCATGTGAATGAAAGGAAGAGAACAAACATCTCACCTTGAAGAAAGAAGACCCTCAGTAACATGTTGACTGTCAGCATGTTCTCAGACAGACTCTGATGTACCTTCAGGCTGGAAACCAAACATTTAGATGATTTATTAAAGTAGTTCTGATATTAGAGGTTTAACTTATTGTAAAGTAACTCTGAAAGCTGTTTACACCCATGAGCTTAACACACATCTAGAACTGATACATGTAAAAAGACGACATTAGGAACAACTACAAGTTTGCTCTTCAAAAGTATCTAAAACACTCAAATCAAAACAATCGTCGTCCTTCTTTTAACATTTGTTGAAAACAAAACCCCAAACATTTAAATATATAATAGGAGTGTTTGACAATATGTACAAATGACAGAACTTGAAGAAATATTTGGTTAAATCATCAAAATCAACAATGTAAACGTACCTGAATTTCGGGAGATAAAACTAAAATAGTTTAAGTTTTAAAACCAGTTGATCTATTAGGATCAATTGATCAGCAGCAGAATGAACATCGACCTTATCTGTGAACAGACGAGTTAGAAAAAGGAGTTTCATCCTTCAAGCTCAGTGAAACAGGAAGTCAGCTCTGTCTGCTCATTTTACTGTGGTAATGTGGCCTCGGTTTTTCCGTTTTGGAATTCTATTTATGTTTTCTTTTATATTGTTTTTTTTGCTTGCTTGTCATATTTTGAAATTATGTATTTTCTTAGGTTTAGCTGAGTTAAACTTTTGAGTTATTGTTTTGCATGTTTTCTGATTGTTTATTTTGGAGGTCACGTGTCCGGATACCCAAAGAAGCCCTGCACCGGTGCTATACATCTGCTTAATTAGCGTGGAGATTGTCATGACAATAAAAAAGGACACAAGCAGAGAGGACGCAGGAAAAAAACAGGGAGAAGACGGAGCGGCGGCGATTGTGTGGCAGGAGCGGGGAGGCGGTGTATCCAGACAGGCGGACTATACGGGAAGACTGGTCGCCGTCGAGGAGCGGCGGCTGGGTCCCTGACAGGGTTCGCCAGGAACGGAGGACTGGATGTGGTGGAGGACCGCGCCATTCTTTTGATCAGATAAGGACAAACTATAGACTGACTTATGGATTGATTGTCATGGACTGTCCGCACCTCCTTCGCTTCTGATATCGTTTAAAATAAATTATTGTAACTTTTATGGGTTTTGTTTCGTAACTGTTCACAACTCCTGCAGTTATTTAGTTGGTACACCACTCGGGTGCCACATTACCATCATGAAGTCATCCAATGAAGTTCACAGCGAAGTGATCATTTCTCATTTTTTCAGCTATAATTGTAAATATATGAAGTTGTTTCCATGAGTCGCATATAGAACTGATATGCTCACTTCTTGTTTTTTACTTCTACTCCGCACCAATTGTGTTTAGCCCTTTCTAAAGCAGCAAGTTCATTTTTGCGTCATTTAGTGAGTTGCTGGACAGGCAACACTTTTCTTATGCTGTTTTCCACATTGTGTTCATTTTTAATGGCCTACCTTTACTGCAGTAAAACGCTGCTGCTTGTAGCGGCTGCAGTTTCTGTGCTGATCTCTTTAAATGCAGTTTTTAAACGGACTGAGCTGCTGTGTCTTTATTCATGAAGCTCAACTTCTGCACGCATTCATTCATTGGTGACTTTATATGCCCTAAACAATTGAAACAATCTACAGGTTAGTGTTTTTCCTTTAAAAACATTTTATGTTTTGAAGAATTTTAATAACGAACATCTTTATATTGATAACTCAATAAAATGATAAACGTTTTGAAAGTTTTTGTAATGGCAAAGTAAACAGACTGCCAGGACTTTGGGTGTTTGGGTTTGGTTTTGATCATTTTGTCTTAGTTCTCTTTAGGTTAGCCCCTCATGGTCCTTTTGATTTGTATTATTTGAGGTATTTAGTGCTATTAGAATTGTCTTTTTATTGCTTTCCTTATTTTCAATCCTTCATAGTGTTTCTACTTAGGTTTTTTCTTTAGTTACTCTAGGTTTTGTTATTCTTGTAGGCCTTAGTCAATGTCTTTCTTTAGTGATTATAGTTAGGTTATTTTTATCCTTCTTGTTATTCCTTATTTCAGCCTCCCTGTAGTGATTCTAGTTATCTTTATTTCTTAGTTATTTCATCACTCTAGGTTCAGTTATTCTGAGTCTAGGTATACCTTTCTGTTGTGGTTCCAGTTAAGTTATTAAGTGCATCTAGCTTCCCCCCCGTAGTGTTTCTAGTTTTCTTATTTTCTCGCTTTAGGTTTAGTTAGTCTTTTTGTCTATGTCCATCTTTCTTTAGAGAATCTAGTTAGGTTATTTCTTTGTTTAGTCCTTCTAGTTATATCATTTTCTCGCCGCCCCTCAGCCCGGTCTGGCTTATCTCTCTCACCAGCAATCAATGAAGCTCATCAGCTCTGGTTTGTCTAACTCTCTACCTCCCAGTATTTTAGCCTCTCATTTGCTTCCATTCCTCATTAGATCCTCATGTTCGCTCACCTCAGTCCTCTGTGCTTCCCTGTTTTCTCCTTGTGTCTAATGGCTTGATATTCTTTTGGCTTTATTTTTGTTGCTACCTCGGATTTTGTATTTTTGTAAGTGTCCATCATTGTTTCAACCATTCATCAATAAATCATCTAAGAACTCAGCAGCTGCCTCCAGGTCTCTGCATTTGGGTCCATCTTCAACAATCGGCATCATGACACAGATATTAGATCATTGTTTCTATGTAAAAGACATTTTTCACTGCATCTTGAGTGTGATGTTGCGCTTTAGTCAGTTTTTAAATATGAACCATAAATTAATTATGAAAATGATTTTTAATCAAACATCTCAGCCACTTCTATCTTATGAAGAGCAGGTTGACGATCTAAACTATTCAGCCTCTCTGTGTGTAGAAATTGTTTAGCCTTTATTAGTTAAAATATATACTATTTGAAAAAGAAAAGCTTGTTTGGATTGTTTGTCCTTTTCTCAGTTACCTTCAGCAAAAAAACACATCTTTCATATGATTAGACAAAAATATAAAACAGGAACAAAAACATATACATATATTTTTACTTCAGTCAACATGTTAGTTACAGTCTCTATGATAAACATGAAGAACACAATAAAATCAACTTCCTCTATTTTAAAGTTTCCTCAGAAACATGAGGGACGTCTGCAGTCTGAAAGCTGCTGATGGAGTTTAGTTTGCAGGCAGAGACTGAAACACATCAAGAGGAGAAAAAGAAATGAAATTCTGAAACAGGAGCAACACCTGATTGGACAGAGTCATGATGTGACAACAGAGAAGAAGAGAAGCCAAACTTTAAATTAGAATAAGACGATAAACAGAGAGAGAGAGACTCTGTTAGCTCTGTTTCAGTACAGCTGATTTAAAAAGTGAGAAACGCTGAGATGAAACATGAAGTCACTTCCAGGACACAAAGGTTAGACCAGTGATGGACTGGTGATCTGTCCAGGCTGGACTCTTCTTCTGTCCTGCTGACAGCTGGAGACGGACACCAGTCCCTGCTGTGACCTTGAAGCTGCAATGGTTGGATGGATGGACAATAAAAACCCTTTGACAGTGGACTTGATGTCCTCTGTTTCTCCTTGATGCTCATGATGCCTAAACCTCCATCACTCTGTGGACATCGTCTGATTCTCCTGGGTCCTGAGGACAAAAGACAGTGAAGGAATGTCAATTTGTTGTTTTAAAGTTCATTTATTGAAAATAAAATTACAAAGATATTCCCTTATAAAATCAAGTAAGAAAAATAAATATGGGTGAAAAAACATATTCATTCAGTTTGACCAGATTTCCTTTGAATCCATTAAATAAATATGACATAAATAGTTTTTATGACAGCAACAATTTTAGTTTGTCATCATGTAAATAAATTAATTAATAAATTAAAATATATTAAGATTATTGCTTTCAGAAACTGAAGATAAATTTCCTCTGTGCTAATAATTAAAACCGACTTTTATCTTTAAGAGGAAGGTGAAACTGAAGATGCTGTCTAAAACAAAAAGTTTCCTAAAAGTTTCTTATTTTGTTATTGACTGAACATAAATATTGTGTTCAACTAGCTTACCTTCTTGTGTATGTTGGATAATCTAAACCAGCTGAAAGACAAAAATCATAATATTAACAAACATCAACATGTAACAGAGACCAGCAGGTCTGCAGCTCAGAGAAAAACATTTATTACCACTGAAAGATGCAGAATGCACTGAAGACCATCAATGTTCCCAGGATCTTCAAAGTAGCAAAGACACCGACTCCTAACACTTGATGAAAAGGAGCTTTATCTTCAATTGTAAGTGGAATAACTGATGAGCTCTGGTTTCCTACATCATTTCTGGCCACACAGTAAAACTCTCCTGCTTCAGCAAACATGAAGCTGTCACTTGAGTAATTTTCTTGGATGGTTTCTTTTTACTTTTTGTTGAGTAATTTGCTAAAGAATTGCTATTCTTACTTTCGTACAATTACTCAGAAACAGCTGAACCATGACCTGCTGACAGGATCACTTACATGAAACACTGAGAGTCACTTCTGTCTCTGCTGTCTTGTTTCCTCCAATCACAGGATATCTGGCAGAACATCTGATGTTGTATCCATCATGTGTGTCTGACAGAGTGATGTTCTCCTGGATTTTAGTTGTAAAGGTTCCATCTGTGTTTTTCTCTGTTTGTCTGAGAGAGTCTTGTTGGAGATTCCAGGTGAGTTGAGGAGGTGAGTGTGGACAGGGAGTGAAAGCTGAGCAGGTTACAGTGACAGACTGATGCTCCTTCAGGTCAGAGGGAACATTAATGCTGGGACTCCAAGGAGAATCTGGGAACAAGACGAGCATTTTACCAAAGTAAATGTTTATTGCAATGTTTATCATGTAAAAGAATATTGGAAATTTTTCAGTGGCGTTCTTTGATTAAGTACCGATTAATTAAACATCTGGTTTGATGATATTTACTTATTTAATCGTAATATTTGTTTCTACCCCTTATTCATGTTTTGTCTGTATTTCACACCCTAATACAGAAAACAGCAGATTATGACAAAAACATTGGTTAGTTTTCTTCAACAGTGAACTCAATAATAAAGCAGTAGATTTTTAACATCATAGGAATCAAATAATAATATTGTTAATCATGCAGATTTTTATTTAACAGTTGCTGTCTTAGTTTGTTGTTTTGTATGCCACCAGATTTCATTTTATTATGATTATGAACAGTAATGTCACAGACGTAAATAAAACCTCTTACCTGTAACATTTACTTGAATAGGATCAGCACAAGCTGTCGCTCTGCAAGGTCCGTTTTCAACTCTGAAGAAATATTTGCCTGTATAACTTCTGTTTAAATCAGAAAACAGAGTGGTGCAGTTTTTCTCTCTCAGGTTTCCAGTGATCTTCAGTGGATATTTGTTAACTGACTCACTGCTGTTGAACATAACTACATTTGGATCAAAGTGAAAGTGCAAGTTATTTTTCATCCAAACTCCATTGATAGTTCTGTTGCTGTAAAAGGTTGCATCCTTTGAATTAAAGCTACATGGGATTTCCAGACAAGCTCCTGCCAGAGCCTCGATGTTCTTTGGTGTCGTGATGAAGAGGCTTGCTGGTTTATTATCACAGTTGTCAAAAGCGCCTATGAAAACAGACCAAAGATGAACAGAACATAGAGCCAAATCTACCTTGAGTCCAGTTTAAGTTCAGCCTTTAATCAACACCAGGATGAAATATTTCGGACTATAAATTATTCATGTGATGTCTCCAAATGAAAGGAAGAGAACAAACATCTCACCTGGAAGGAAGAAGATACTCATTAGCATAGTGAATGTCAGCATGTTCTCACACAGAGCCGCCATCGTATTCAAAAGGTTTTTCTTCATCTATGACAGGAGATTAAACTAAATTTATTGAAGCAGGTTTCAATTTCAACGATCGTCATTTTGAAGCAGATCTGAATGAACACAGTTCAACCACAATCCCACATCCAGAATAACTATTTGTTACTAAAATAACCTCAATTCACCAAAACCAAAAGACGTTTCCAAAGATCTTTAAGAAAATGTTTCAGTCAATAAAAGCCTAAATAGTTAAATATATTGCTCTGCTGCATGAACACATTGCTCATTGTATTGTATCGTATGCAAATGTTGTTGTCCTCTTCCTCTCTCTCCCTTTTAGGTGTTTTTGCACTTTAAGGCAGACATTGTAAATAAGAAACTGATCTTAATGTTTTGCTTGGTGAAATAAAAGTCCAACTAACTAATAATGTGTAACTGCAACAAAATGAATAAACAAGACATTGTAACAACTTGTTACAAAGTGTATTAAAATGACCAACATAAACTTACCTGACAAGCTGCATTTAAGGGAGACAAAGTTGTTTTCACACTGGGTTAAGTTGATGAGCAGCAGAACAGACACCTTCTCTGCTTCAAAGAGAAAATGAGATGAAAAAGTGAAGAGATGCGTTATTTAAAGGAGTCTTCATCCCTCATGAGCTGCGAAAGAGGAACTTGTCTCTTTCTAGTAACTTACGCACCATGGATTAACCTTTTAAAGTCTGATTTTTAACACAAAGTTCACAGTAAATCATTTGATATTCAGAAAGGGAAACCCATTACGTGAACTTTAGTTTCAACCCTTTGCTGGTGATCTCTGATTATTTCTTACTTCTCTGTTAGCTTTAGAAATGAAACTAACAAAATGTGAACAATAAACAGTTGTCGCTCACCTTATCAGGACATTTTGCACTTAAATATGGAGTAGCTCCTGTCGTTGTGAGCTTCTGTCGGAGCTGATAGGAATAATACATCTTTTCAGTTTGCCCTGTCAGCTTTTTCTGAGCATTTTGCACAAATATCGGTTCTTATCTCTCCACTCCTTCATAACATTTTGGTTGACCATTTGAGATTTCCCAAAAACAGACTGCAATTTCTTCGGTGATACTTTGGTATTTTTCAACAAGTTTGTACTTGTTGAAGGCAGTAACAATGGAAGAAGGCGTTCTTAAAAAAAATGTGCCAAATGTTGAAATCCAGAATAATACAGCAAAAACAGGCTGTCCTCTGTCAATTTTCCCCAGCTTGGTTTAAATACTTAAAAATACTTCTGTCATTTTGTACACCACTCAACAGCATAGCTCCAAAAGACATTAAAGACCAGCTGTTGTTGCATTAACCTACTGCTCAGGTTTTTGGTTCTGCATCCTGTTACAGGCCTGCCAGGCTGTTTGTTTCTCTTTCCCCTCCCCTGTTTGTCTCTTCACAGGTAGTAGGGAAAGCTGGTGTCAATCTCCCTGATTGGTCCTCATCAACCATGGGCCAATCAGCATCCAGGGAGGCCTTATTTAAACAGCCCAGCTGGGGAGCTGGGGAGATCTCTCCATCTGGCTCTGTGACCTGATGCATGTCTTGTTGCTCTTTGTGTGAAGGTTTGTGGTGAGAGTTAGAGGGCGAGGTAAGTTTGGGGTACCCTGTACATTTCATCACGTAGGTGTTTTTCCTGTTAGATACACTAGGTAAGTAGGTGGGTGCCACCCATGTAAAGTTTTGGTGGAAACTTTTGTTAGATTAGGTAGGCAGGGTTTTTGTTTTCTCGTTTCTTTAGCACAAACGGTAGTTAGGCCCTGTTTTGTTTTATTTTCTTTGATTTGGCACCACCTAACCGCCCCTTTCTCCCCCACAGTTTGTATGAGCCTTCTGGGATTTTTATCAATAAATCCCTCCTTTTTAAAACATTCACCTGGACTCTGTCAAATTTTTGTGGCTGTCGTGTTACTCCCCTCCTCATAAAAGGGGGTTGTAACAATCCTCAGAACCAGAAGCAAACATGGAAAGCATTCAGCTTCTATACACCACAAATCTAGAACAAACTTCCATAAATCAAACTTCCATAGTTTGATTTCCGTACAAATCAAACTTCTAGATTCCACAAATCTAGAGCAAACTTGCAGTTTTTCCATAAAACAGCTGAAATACTGAGTTCCTTTATATTAAGGCTAAAAATCCACCTGTTTAGAGTTGCCTTTGAATTGCAGTAAATGGAACACTAATCAACATAATTGACTTGTATTGATGGTTTTGATTATTGCATTTTGACAAAACATGTTTATTGCTGGTTTCACAACTGGTCGCTGCATAATGTTTTTATAACACTTTGAACTCCCTTGCTGCTGAAATTTGTGATACAAATATATACTGCTAAAAAAAAAAAGGGAACATTTCACTTTAATTTTGTGTGTGGCTCCAAATCCAGGCCTCCATTGGTTAAATTTGATTTCCATTGATGATTTTTGTTGTCGGCATATTCAACTTTGTACAGAACAAAATATTCAATGAGAATATTTCATTCATTCAGATCTAGGATGTGTTATTTGAGTGTTCCCTTTACTTTTTTGAACAGTGTACTTGAACAATAAGACTCTCAGAAATCTGGCTACAGCTACAAAACAAATCTGATATATAAAACAAAAACTATGCAAAGGTATTGGACTCTTAAAGAAAGTAAAAAATATTTTTGAATTCTCAAAACTGCAGACTTTATAGTTGTTCCATATCTGACCTATTGTATCAAGGTGATGAAATGTAATTTGAGTGAATAAACTTATTGATTAAATATTTTTTAGGTTTTTACAAAGAGGCAGAAACTATTTCGTACACTAATCAGTGGCTGACAGGGTTGGATCGAGTTGCAGCATTTTATTTTTAGTGTTGCACACAAGCACAACTCAAGAGCTTGACTAGATTAGGAGCGATTGATGCAGCTGAAAGGAGAAACAAAAACAGGAGAGATTAAAAGTAAATATCAAACACCAAAATCTAACAGACACCAGCAGCTCTGCAGTTGAATTGTACCAACTCAGAAGACAAAAGTGACTTACCTGTCAATGACGAAGACTGCACCGCCAAGAACTACCAATCCCACGCCCCCTATTACTACGAAAATCCAGGCTCCAACTCCGTTTGTACCTGTAACAAGAGAACATGCTCAGTTTTCCCTGAATGGGAAATATATTGGCTTTAAATACTGTAATCTTACATTTATTACTAGTTTTTGAAGAGCAAAGCTTAACTGATGTCTGAGTAATGTTTGTATTTTGTAAAGCACAATTTGAACTGATGCAATAGTTCTTAATACAATGAAATTACATGACAATATGTACCCAGAATAAGAGTTTTTAGGCTACAAGATGGCAAAGACTTAAAACAATAATTTAAGTTTCTTTCCAAAAATAACCTTTATTCTGCTTAAAATGTTATCTAAATATCTTTAAGGCTTTTAAAAAGGAAAACAAAAGAAGCACAACTTACTTTTTGTTCTGAGATTGATCGGTGATGATTTCTGTTTACCCAGCTTATTGGAAGCTACACAGAAGTACTGATCGCCCTGAGTGAATTTAACCTTGTGAAAGATGCCTGTAGCTGCTTTAGTGAGTCTTTCTGGGCCTTTCTTGAACCAGGTGAATCTGGGTGGAGGGTTGGCTTTGCTGGAGCAGTTCAGCTCCACCCAGCTACCTTCTGACACCAAACCTGATGGACTGATGGATGCTGAGGTGTTTCTAGGAGCATCTGAGGAAAATGAGACACATGAACTTTATTGATCAGAAACAGATGAATTATGACCTGCTGACAGGATCACTTACATGAAACCCTGAGAGTCACTTCTGTCTTTGCTATGTCGCTTATTTCAGCCGCAGGATTTCTGGTGAAACATCTGATTATGTATCCATCATGTGTGTCTGACAGAGTAATGGTCTCCTGGATTTTAGTTGTAAAGGTTCCATCTGTGTTTTTCTCTATTTGTCTGAGAGAGCCTTTCTTGAGATTCCAGGTGAGTTCAAGAGGTGAGTGTGGACAGGAAGTGAAAGCTGAGCAGGTTACATTGACAGACTGATGCTCCTTCAGGTTACCAGCAGAGATATTGATTCTGGGAGTTAAAGTAGGATCTGAAATTTCACATTAGACACACATTTAAGTAATGTTGTCCTATGTGTGTCAGAGATTTATGTATTTGAGAAAACATGACTGTCTGTTTAATGAATTCATTATATATAATATATATACTGAACTAAAATATTTGGTTTTGCTCCCATTTTTCATGAGCTGAACTCAAAGACCTAAAAGATTTTCAATATAAACATTTCTCTTAAATATTGCTCAATAATCTGTCTAGATCTGTGATAGATTAAATTTTAATACATAATCCCTCCTGCCTGTGGCGTATCAAGATCCCAATTACACAGAATAATTACTACACAGGAGTGCCACGGGCAGGCCACAATAAAACACCACTCTGAAATGTCCTGGTTTATCACTCACTCTTTTAATATCCCAGTTTGTGCATGGCCAGCATACTCACCAAACATGTCACCCATTGAACATGGTTGGGATGCTCTGGATCAGCGCATACAACAGCATGTTCCAGTTCCTGAAAATATCCATCAGCTTTGATCAGCCATTGAATATCGGTCCACTTTTTAAAGGAATGGACTCCAAAAGCGACAACCTGATCAACTCTATATGAAGGAGAGTTGATAAGCTCTCGCTCATCTGGTTGGACTGGTTTTCAGACCCACCAATTAAGCAAAGCACATTTCAAACTTTGTTTTTAATGTGGCCTGCCGAAGGCACTACGGTTCAGTGATCATCCTGACTAACTAGTATATTGATATGCTTGAGAGATGGGATGGATAAACTTTTTGAAAGTTTTTGGATTTTTTTTGTATGCTTCTCTGGAATGTTCCTTTTGTAAGTTGGACTCTAGTTTTTGTTCATTACATATTCACAACTATATTTTTGCCTGCTGCTATTGGGTCCACCTCAACAACACATCATGACAAAAACATTGGTATTATTGTTTCTAAATGTAAATGAACTTTTATTTGAAATTACAACAAAAAAGTTTTTAGCCCTCAAATAATGAGGTTATTTTGACCATTTCTCATTGTTTTGCAAATAAAAGTACATTTTTGCATGGTTTTTCAGAGACATGTCAGTAGTTCATAGAATAAAAGAACAATGTTCATTTTACATATCCATATAAAGTAAAATCGGAGCAACTGATAACTGGTTTCTAAATCCTCTCTCTGTGTATATATAGACATTATCTTAATCAAAAAGATAAGCATTACCACTGATGTCAATACAGATGCTTGTCGATTTCTCACTACCAAGCTCATTTATGGCCTCACAGTAATAATCTCCTTCTTCAGTAGGAGTAGCACTGAAGCCGTAAACCTCCTTCTCAGATACTTTAATGGGTCCTTGGTTGCTGTTCTTGAACCAGGTGATTTTGGGTGGAGGTTTGGCTCTGCTGTAGCAGCTCAGGTCCACCCAGCTATCTTCTGGCACCAAACCTGATGGTCTGATGGATGCTGAGGTGTCTTTAGGAGCATCTGAGGAAAATGAGACACATGAACTTTATTGATCAGAAACAGCTGAACCATGACCTGCTGACAGGATCACTTACATGAAACACTGAGAGTTACTTCTGTCTCTGCTATGTCGCTTTTGTCAGTCACAGGATATCTGGCAGAACAGCTGATGTTGTTTCCATCATGTGTGTCTGACAGAGTGATGTTCTCCTGGATTTTAGTTGTAAAGGTTCCATCTGTGTTTTTCTCTGTTTGTCTGAGAGAGTCTTGTTGGAGATTCCAGGTGAGTTGAGGAGGTGAGTGTGGACAGGGAGTTGAAACTGAGCAGGTTACAGTGACAGACTGATGCTCCTTCAGGTCAGAGGGAACATTAATGGTGGGAGTCAGAGAAGCATCTGAAATTTCACATTAGACACACATTTAGTTGATGTTTTATGTGTGTGTCACAGATTTATGCATGTAAAAAAATAAGATGGTTGTGTGATCCAATATTCATTGGAAATATACATACACTGAACAAAATTGTAAACGTACCACTTTTTTGTTCCCATATTTTATGAGCGGAACTCAAAGACTGAAAACATTTTCAGTATAACCATTTTGCTCAAATATTGGTCACTAATCTGTCTAAATCTGATAGTGCACAAATTTGTCACCAGGATTTTGCATTTTGACGATGGTAGAGTGTGACCATCGCACAGTCTTCTCCAGCACATCCCAAAGATTCTCAATGGGGTTAAGGTCTGGACTCTGTGAGCCATGTGTGAAAATGATGCCTCATGCTCTCTGAACCAGTCTTTGACGATCTGAGTTCGATGAATCCTGGCATTGTCATCTTTGAATAATGCTCATGAATGAGGGAAGAAAAACCATTGAATGACCTGGTCAGTATATTCAGGTAGTCCGATGACTTCATTATTTGAGTTGATATTGCTGAAGCCAGACATAACCAACTGCAGCAACCTCACATTATAGCACAGCCTCTGCAGGCTTGACAGGAGGCACAAGGCATGATGGGTAATCTGGGCCGAGCTGAAACATAAACACCCATGCATCCATATCCAATTATCCAATAGGAGGGGTGTACCTATTTGCTTAGTTAAATCAAGTTAGCAACTCTTATTTTGGCCAGGTAATGGGCTATATGAACACACACACACACACACACACACAAATATATCATCCTCTGAGCTCGGGTC